AATTGTGAACAGCTATCGCGGAATATGGTTAAAAGGAGCATTAAGATTATCCATAGCGCAAAATCACCTGCATCATGAGCATACCCCACATACACACCTTCACGTAGGTAGGTACTTACCCTCACTTCTACACCATCACACAACACAGCCAAATTAGGTGTTACTTAGTTGAATGTTTTGAATAATTTTTATTTCTTTGTTTCCTTTTGTAAATTTTTAAACCTTTTTGTAGTTAATTGTATTATGTATTCCATCTCTGGCTATATTTTCAGTGTAACTGTTTGTTATTATATAATATAATTTATGTTAGCTGTAGGATTACGAAATAAATAAATAAACATTTTTGTTTGGGCTCATCTAAGATAGTATAGGCCGATTCCAAATCACTGTTACTAAAAACAACTTAAAACTGATTTGGGCCCATTTTTGGTAAAAAAGTTTGTCTGTTTAAATAAAATAAATATTTTCTTTCTTCCTTGCTGTTGCTTGCTTGCTTGAGTTGGGGGTCACAGACATTCACTTGTCTTGATTAAGACACTATTTTACTACACTATTTCTTCGTATTTGTAGTGTTTTATTAATGACAAGAAGATTGGCTTTGTAAGACATTTACATTAATTGTTTCGTCTATACACCTTGAGGTGAAGTTCAAGGTTCAAACCATGGTTGATAATGTTTCCAACATTGACAATAAATAGTAAACGAATAATAAAGAAACAAGTAAGTAGATTATGTAATATATTAACGATTTCGGTTCAATATAATGATTTATATGGAGGATTCAGTGATTAAAGCGTTTACTAAACAACACACCAAGTTCACATTTGTAATTGTGAATAATACTGAACTACACACATGTTAAAAATATAGCAACGAGTTTCTTGACGCTCCAAGTCAACATTGCTCGTAAATTCTTGTTGGCGCTAAGTTTATTCAAGTTACAGTTACAGGTAGTATAGAACACTTTCCCCTAAACTTTGCACTACGCATGCGTTAGTCAATGTCACACCGTACAACTGACAGGATAACCCATAGATTTTAACCTCAACGTAAATATGTTTTGATAATAATTATTGTGCGTATTCCGTCCATGAGCACGACTGACGGCCAATCAGTATTTTAATTAAATACCAATTGAAATCGTTTACCAATAGCATTTGATTGAATGTTTTGTTATCGGCCGGAAGGGTATGGTGTATTATTCAGTTTTGTGTAGTTTTAGAATAAGTGTAAAAGTGCACACCGGCATGAACAGCTGCGATCGCGTGATCTTGAGAAAGGTGAAATGTTTGTCTCTTTCACTCAAACGGTATTTCCTATTATATTATTCCCTTTGGCATTCGGTCACTGTAGCGGCTTTTTCACATATTACGCTAGAGGCCTGTCTTGTTTTCGCACGGCTGGACATTTACCTATTTACAAATTTTATATGTGTATGTATATTTTATTCTAAATGTGAAATAATTTTTGATATCGGCCCACTAGTTTTGAGTTTATTCGTTACATAAAAAATACAAATCTTACTTTATAATTTCGCATTGATTTTTTTTATTTGGTAGTAAAACAATAGCACAAACAGCAAATTCTGATGGAATGAAAATTTTGTAATATCAATTATTATTGTATATATTTTTGAATGTTATCTTAATTTTTATATTTCTGTATAACAACAGAAGATTTAATAAACTTACTTTTAGAAAATTATAAGTACTAACCAATATTGATGTTCATGGATCGTTCGATTTACGGCTTTCCTACTACTATGCGAAACATAAATAAATGATAGATAAAGTTTAATCTATTTTAAATCACATATTTAAAATTTAAAAGTATAAATAACTGGACTTATTTTATACGTATAATCAGCTACGCTTCAGTCAACTTCAATTTAGAAAATATTTTTACGTCTAATACCGGTAAGCGATGACGAAAACGTCATTAGGTTTTTGTTCCACTTTTTTCCTGTCTCTGCAGAACATCGAAACAAATGTATCAATCTATAGCACACACCTGTTTCTAAGCACACATACGTATTACACTAATACATAGATAACAACGCGATATCATTTTCTTTATATGCTCACGCGATTCGATCGGGTTGTACTTGAATATTAATCACAATCAATACTGTCAAACAATATAGCTATTGATGAATGAATTATTGAATTCGTTTCAGTTTTTCATTACTAGTAGAAATACAAAAGTTGATTAATGATATTGAAACCATATTTAGCTTGTAATCGATCCGATAGTAACAATGTTTCGGTGACATCTAAAGATAGAACATAGTTTATAAAGACATATCAAATATGTTAGGTAACCTCGGATGAAATTTTCATAACAATTTTGCAAAGCTGCGCGAACTCCTTTGATATAAGGGTACGGAATTCCGGTTTACCCTTACCCTTTTAACCCAGATTAATTATTCGAAATATGCTATTTTCACCCTTATTAACACGTTACGGAATATTCAAAGGAATTTTACTAGAGATAAGGTGATAAAGATCACATGTTATTGTTATCTTATCATATAACAATTACTAGATGAGATCACAATAGCTGCGATCCGCGATATAATTCTTATTAAAGCTTGCCGCGTCTGTACATACGCGGTAAACTTGAACACTTCTGAACGGATTTCTATACGGTTCACCGATAGACAGTGAAATCTCCGACGATAGATTTACTGAAATAAAACGATTGTTTTGCGAGGTCGTACAAGTATATGAAAAAGCATACGAAACGCAGCGGGGAAGAAAAAAAATCTTGAATAGAATACTATTTTTTTACAAGTAATAAGAGTGTTATTGAGTTAGGAATGAGTTATATTATTAGGAAAATGGTGTACGCTGACGCATCTAGAAAATATTAATAACAACAAATTCAATATATACTATTTCTCGTATAAGTACTTGCATTATCACAGATTTATACGAAAATGTTACCAGATCAAAACGCCTTTTTTAATGAAGAAATTATTTTGAATATAAAATTAAAACTGTGCTGATGAATGACAGATTAAATCACGCAACGTCTAAAACAATATTTTTTAAGATACAAAACTTTAAAATAGATATTTTTTTAAATTTAAATACGTATATACGTAATTCTATAACTTGGCTATCATTTCTTTCGATTGAACGCGCTCGGAATTATTTAAGTGGAAAGATAATTCGCGGGTCGCGTCATTAAATATTAGTAAATTTTAAAAACATTAGCTGTGATTTTAACCAATCATTAACGCCTTTAGTACACCTACGCGTTCGTATGCGGCTGCGAGTCTTTGCGAAATAATTGCGGTAGCGAAATATCTGCGGAACGTTAGTACACTGCAGTTTTTTCGCAAGGAAATGTCATTGTAGCTTTATTTCTTACCATCTATCCCCGTCTTTTCTTGAATTTTCCTCCATGCCACCTCTTTTTTTGTATGCATTTTTGTAATTAACATGCCCAACTAAATATAATTCGGGATAATTTCGAATCAAATTCATTAATAATTCAATATTTTCGGCTTCCATTGTGCGAAATTCTGTCCTCACTGACAGAACGCGTGGTGACGCATTGCGATGCGAAACTCCGCTAGCGAAACGGCTGCGTCTGTGTAACAGCCATTTCGCAGTTACTTGCGACACAATACCGACAAGGACGCAACTATTTCATCTAGCTATATAATAGAGCGAGACAAAACACATGCGAAACGTTGCCATACAACTTACAGTTTTTTCGTCGTTTCGCTGCCGCATGCGATTGCGTAGGTGTACTAAAGGCGTAAAGGCACTTATACGTATACAGTGCCACATGGTATATACTTTTCTTGGTCGGTAAGAGCGTCAAATTCATGGATATTAGTATTGCCAGTAAATAAAAATTAACCATTATAAGGGGAATAATTTGAAGTTTTGCAGGCTAACTTAATAGTTTAATACTATTATTAACTATAAAATAATGTATACTAGTATCTAGAAAGTACAGTTCTAGGCTTAAATAAATGTGACACAAACTTAGGAACAACTGATATGATAGGTTTTGTTACCTGTACTATTTAATATCTTTTTAGATACCTAGCAATCAGAACCGTTCGATAATTAAAACTTTGTCATTGTAATTAATAATGCAAGGAATAAAAACAAATACATTTTAGTTGGATTTTTATCAGAAATTGGTAGATAGTAAAATTATTAGTCAGTCTGACCAATCTCAGCCGCCGGCCAAGAAATATATGTGGCTATTGAATAGTTTGCCCTTATCACGCTCGCATCGCTTTGAAGCTAAATAAGCGTGAACAATTTTATTTTCAGAGTTCTTTCCTAGAACACAATATTTACTATATTGTAAAAAAATAATACAGGTAAATTTTCAAGATGCGTGATACTGTGGAGTTTTGTATGTTATATGCTTTTATTTGACGTTTAATCTGACATATTTATTAAAAATAACAATGGCAGGTTAAATATGTAAGTGTTTAAGGAAAAACAAGATTTAGTGAAATGTTTTTCGTTTTGAACCGTTTCAATTCATTTTACGATCACAGTTCGATAATAAAAACAATATTAAAAATATATGCATTTCGTTACATACGCGCGAAAGCGGTAAGAACTAAGCACGTAGTTTTAAGTATTATTTTAGGCGTTTTAATATATTAGTGTTTTAGAATATCAAATCCAATATTAGGGTATCCCAACCTTTGTAATACGAGTAGATTATTTATCATAGAAGATAGACAAACACACATCGCACCGCATTATCATCGGTTGGGACTTTGGTCTATCCAGTTCTGGACAAAAAAAAACATTTTTACAGCTGATCGTACAGATTAAATACGATTCTTTATATACCATAATGAGACAACATTTTCACTGAACTGAAGATTTATTACGATCGGCGTAATTCGAATAATCGTTTATTGATAGCGTTATCAATCAGTTATAAGAGATTTAAACAAGGACTGTAAGACAACGTTTGGACGTATCGGGGACCACAAGTGTTTAGTGTAAGATAACATGTTCACGAATAACGGACAAGTACTACAAAACGAAATACCGAAGTATTATCTATCGGATGAGGATCCGAAGTATGAAATACCTGGAAGTGTTATGGATGGGATTATTTTAGATGTGAATGAACCTCAATATAAAGTGTCTAAGACCAGATGGCTAATGCTAGGATTTTTCGTAATGTACTCGGCGTCGAATGCGCTGCAATGGACTCAGTATACGATAATTTCTGATATCGTTGTGAACTACTATGGCGTGACCAGTAAAGTTGTGTCTTGGACTTCAATGGTCTATATGATTGCGTATGTGCCTTTGATATTTCCGGCGAGCTGGCTCTTGGATAAAACGGTAAGTTTTTCGTTTCTTTATGCTTATTTCCATTACTAAAATAGACTTGTGAAAGCAAAGCAGTGTTGGGCTTCAGCGAATCTCATCCCTGAAGTCGTAGGTTCGATCCCCGCCTGTGCACCAACGGTGAAGGAAAGCAGCGTGAGGAAACCGACTTGCCTTTGACACAAAAAGTCGATGGCGTGTGTCAGGCACAGGGGGCTGATCACCTTGCCTATTAGATTGACAAATGATTATTAAACAGATACAGTAATCGGAGGCCCTGACCTAAAAAGGTTGCCCCTGATTTTTTATTTTTAAAATACACTTGTTTATTCTTATAATAGGTATAAAGAAACCATCTTAATTAAATCACTATTATGTGGTTATGTTCGATTTTCTAAGATCTAATTAACACTTTGCCAGTACAGTAAGGAAAATTCGTTAATATTCAGTCAGACCCAAAAATTACGAAGGCAGCCGTAGAAGGCTGGTAGCTAGAAGACACACGCAGTAATCTGAACCTACTATATGTAAGACTAATATTAAGTGTATAATAAGCTTTATATGATAAATATGTCAAAATTTTAAACATATATTGGCAAAAATTTCCTGATATTAATGATTCGTCATCGTTCATTGGTCTGTGTTAAGGTTGTACCCATTTTTACTCTATTTTCAAGTATAAATGCAAACTTGGGAACAAAATTGAGATTAACGTGTTGATGTTATTAAACTTAGATGAATGTTTAGAAATAATAAAGCAAAAGTGCATGTAAGTGAAAAACTCAACAGCTATCGAATAAAGCAACGTAGCTTCTGTAGACTCCACGCGTCACCTCGATACGAAATTTGTTCATGTTTCGTAATAGTCAATGTGTAGACAAATATTAAACAAAATGGGAATGGTGTAAAAATAATACGGTTTAATTGCCGAAATGTTCATTTTATATGTCACAATTATAGGTCCGTTATAATTTAGACAAGGTCAGTGTGCAAATAATAATAAAATATACCTATCTAGTACGTACAACATTTTTGAAACGTTTATGAGTTACTTATTCATTTATTAACACTTCGTTGCATACTTAAATATAATACAATTGGCATAATTAAATGAAAAGGAGGGCAACTGGCGGCCTTACGGCTTTCTGGAAATCTCTTCCCGGCAACCACTGATTTATTTATTTATAAGTTCTAAAACAACATGTATTCATGAAATTATACAAGAATCAATTATATTAGAACATACTCAAGCTGGCAAGGGAAAAATTTAACAAGCAACCACAAAATAAAATAATAAATAATAACTTAAAGTAAAAAAATAAAATAATCACTACTAGATTTAGGTACCTCACTAAAATTATTGTTGAAAAATATATCAATATTTATTTATTTTATGCCTTATGGCGCATAAGCAACCTCTAAAGCTTAGGCTTTCTAGAAAAGCGGTGCCGTTATCCAACAGCCGTAATGTAACGTTGGGACACGTCACCCATACGTTCTCTGTAAATAACATCGGAGTAGGTTTTCTAGAGAACGTTGCGTGTCACCGTAAGTTCAAATAGCGGTGCTGTCACTTTGCATGACGGCCGTTATAGCGGTGATAAACAGTAGTTCAACGTTTTTCGCGTGTAGCGGTGCCCATATTTAATTAATAAAATGAGTGGAAACGTGACTTGGACGAGCGAAAATTATTGTTTTTTTGCATTACGTTAAAAAGTAAAGACGGCCGTTATTAACAACTGTAAAATGACGGCCGTTAGTAAACGGCACCGCTTTTCTAGGAAACCTAAGCTTAATTGGAAACTAATATAAAGATTACAGTGTACGCAGTTCTGTGGCGATGGTTTTGATTTTGGAATATTAGGGCCGATTTACATTATCTTAGTGTTTAGGAGAGTATTTTAGTACAACTTGAAAGGCAAGTTCTTTAGTGCGTGCGTTGCGAGTGAACGTTTACATTTCTTCCAGTAGAGTATCATTACAGCGCCACAATGACGCGATGTCGGCAAATACGCTCTATTCTACGCAAAATACTAACTGTAGTTATGGAACAAATAGAATACGAGATTTTATTCGAAATAAATAAACTAAATATAAATAATAAATAAAATAGCTTCTTTTAAGGCAGTGTATGCCGAATGCCTAGCCTGTTTGTTTTTGTATAAATTGTTTTTAACGTTCCACAAACATTCGTAAACAACATATTCAGACACAAATTAGATAGTTGTATCTTCCAACCATTAAGTCATCTTTAAAAATCAAAAACACGCACGCGTTTCACGGCACTTGTGCATTCTCCTAAAGATTTTACTAAATTACGTGTTTACACATAACGAGGAAAGATCTCGGGATTGCGCGGGCGCGGGAGGGGTATCACTTGAAACAAAAATAAAAAGCGATTCTATTTTGATTCAACTTGAAAGTCAAGTAGAACCGTACTAAAGCAAGTAGCGTTTACATGTTTCAACTAAAGTACTAACCTAAAGCACTCTGCTAAACACTAAGATAATGTAAATCGGCCCTTATATTATGAGATATACTATTTAGTGACACAGCTTAGGTTGTTAATGACTCATTCCCTTAAATCCTTTATGGTAGCATCTGTCAGACCCGAACCTCCATTAATTTAAAGCGGCTAAATTATATTGGTTACAGCGTAATATATTGTGTTATCGATTTAGGCGTAAACAATCGTATATTTTAAAATATAACATTTGTTAGGACTACGAGTAAGTTCTACGTTTTCTATTATATTTATTGGAACGAAGTTCCTTCGCGCGTTGCGAAAGGGGGGCTAGACGGAAAAAAATAAGACGAAAGTTGTGACACTTTTTTGCTATAGTTGTTCTATTTTATATTTTCGATGTGACTATCGCCAACGTCCATACCACGTTGAATACACCGGTTCTCGTCCGATCACCGAAGTTAAGCAACGTCGGGCGAGGTCAGTACTTGGATGGGTGACCGCCTGGGAACACCTCGTGATGTTGGCTTTTTTTCGTAGCGATAAGAAATGAAAATTATTTTTGGAATCACTTAACTAAATAAGTCGTAGTAAACGTACACAAGGGTAGGAAATAATTTTGGGGTCCCTAGTTTCCTTGCAAAATATAATACCTTTAAAAGATATTCATTATAATAAATTAAAAAATAATGTATCAGGAAAATGTCTTGAAATTCTGCGAATTCAAAAATTAGGGAACTAATATCACAGCAAGAACAGCTTATACAAGGAGATGAACCAGATGAGGCTGAATTAAAACATCTGAACCACGAAATACGAAATATGCTTATTAATTGTGCCACTTAATTTTTATTTAGGTTATTTTATATATTAATCGCTGCGTAGCACAACGACCTCTTTCAGATTCCTGGTCTCTTAAAACTTTAATAGACGATAAAATATAATATTGGTGTCGAGAAAATCTATCATACTGTTATGATACCAATTAAAATATAAATTAATCGAAAGGAACTTAGTTCCATCCGGGTGTCCCTTGACACCTCTCAAGTTTTTTAAAACTAATATATATATTAATTGCATTTAATTAAAATTACTAGAAGCCGGAAACTTCGGATGTATAGTAAAGCCTCGAAAGGCCTATATCCCTATATCGCTATATTATTATTCAGTCTTATAACTTTTACACCGATACAAGAAACAAAAAATTAGAAAGCTTTCTTTATCAGTGGCCAAGATTACTTAAAGTTCAATGATTAACGAAGCGGTAAAGAAAATATCTTAATAATGGTTTAGTTTTATATAGTTCGTATACGCGTGGAAGTGCTTTATGTATACTCGCACAACATAGCTCGTCAATGTCTAGACCCGTCTGGGGCAGAACCACTTCGTGTGGTAGGGGAGCTCAGGCCCAAAAGATACGCGTTCGGCAAAATGCGGCTGCAGTGCCAAGAGACTGGCTTCATTTTGAACACAGTATAAAGTGATAATGATCGAATATATTATTAGATATAATCTATAGATAATTAATAGTTTAGTTAGTTATAAGTGTGGCTGACTTTACTAGTGTAGGTACACATCTCTCATTTGCCCTAGATTTTTCCGACACCTAAAATATTGGATGTAAAAGTTTTAGGTAATCTCTTAAAGACATAAAGTTTTCAGTTTTTACGTCTCAGCGCGATACTTCGATGTAAAAGATTGTATTTTTTATACTGCTCATAAAAGAAATATCATGTGTTCGGGCTTTGTATAACATCAATGTAGGCGATTTTATTGTACATTAGAAACAATATATAACATGTCCTTTTCTCGGTGTGATTTATGTTTTTCGGATATAATGAGTTTTCATATTTCTTTCTGGATTGTGGGGGTTTCTATGTCATCGACTTACTACGGGTTCTAATCTTTGAGGTAGCTGGTAATAAGAGTAATAGATTACTAGAAAATATTTACCATTACTGTTAACATTTATTTTGATTTGTCCATATGCCTATAGGTGCAATTTATATATACCCCCCCTCCTCTTGTCAGCAAAAGTAAGCAAACCTCTCAAAAATTTAAGTATATAATCGTATTAATTCCCCTCTCACGTCAAGTTTGACGTATTGTCAAAGTGTCAGACGCATTTGTCTCGAGATGTCTTCTTCGAATAGTGACATCTCCTTGGTGGTTGGCGATCATCATGCCTAGTTTAATTTTGGATGACGCGCTTCTAAACAATGACTTGGTGCTTTGACCAAACCATTGTGTAAGGTTTTTCAACCAAGACGTGCGTCAGCCAGGTCTCCTTTTATCTGCTACTTTGCCTTGTGTGATTAGTTCAAGGAGCTCGTATTTTTTGGTACCTACGTAAAACATGTTTGACATACTCAAGTTTCCTTTTCTTAACCATAAACACTTCTTTGTTCTTTTGCATTCTATCCAGCACTGTTGTATTTCGTATGTGGTCTGTTCAAGATATTTTAAGCCGTTAAACACAGATCTCAAAGTTTTTTGGATCCAAGATGTTACGTCGTAGAGTTCGAGATCTAAGTTGTTCTTTTTTTTTTTAAATATCGTAGAATGCTATTTTTTATGAATTATCGTGGCTTCATTAACTATTTAGTCAATTAGATCCAAAGTTTCCTTGCGGTTTCTTAGTTTTTAATGTGAAAAACAAGACTATAATAATTGTTTTGTCTTTCTATTTATTGGTATTGAATTCAAGATCATCATC